CAGAGAGTGGCAGTCTGTGGGAGTTGGTTTTGAGCTCACAACCTTAGAATTCCATGCCATATGCCCTCACCACTAGGCCATCACTCCCCAATTTATAGAACTGACTTGAAATGACTGGTTCTCTTTAATATACTGCAATTGAATTGTTCGTAAATCGTTGAAGAAATTAATAATCAATTCTGACCTGATAAAACATTACACTTACCTTTCATTAATAACCTTGATTGGTTAATAGCCTAAATGTAGGACTGAGCAGAACAGGGGAACATTTGATTAAAGAATTTGATTTGGACATGGCGATGACATAAACTCTGAAAGACAAACTCTACAAAAATGAAACTGAACATGCCTGAGTGTGTCACTTGTTCCCTCATTCATATGTTTCTCAGAATTTCTGAACTATTACTTACTTGGGATTTAAACTTGATTCTCCTTCAATCCAGATGAAGTCCTCTAATGTAGAGCAGAAATAAACATTGTCAATGCACCAATCATTGCTACATTCAGGATCTACTGCTAGGATTGTCTTTTTTTAATTTTATATTCTAAATCCAAATGACCTTTTTTAACCTTCTAAGCCACTATCTGTATCCTTCTTCCCATATGCTTTTAGTTGTACGTATATACTTCAGACCTTTAAAACAAAATGAGTTCAGAATAAAAGGATCAAATCGTCTCTGAAAATTATAGTAAATACAGCAATACCTCTCCAATAGCCTAGTGCCAAAACTAAAATAAAATTGTATAGGATAAAAAACTCAGAAGAAATAAATTCAATCAATAGCAGAAACAGCACATTTAGGATTGTGTTGAGTATCAAATAATAAATTAAAGTCTAATTTAGGGTTGTCAAAATAATGATACTGTATCTGGATACAATAATAATTTGGCATGATAACAATGCTAAAGACAACTTTTGTTTGCATTTTTTATGTTAATTATAGACTTCTTTTAATTTGCACATTAAAATAATAATCCGCTAGAAAACCTTATAAGATTTACAAATTGCTCTATAGTTAACCCATAGAAAAAATACTATTACAGCTCCTTTACAACTGATGGGCTCTTTGACATCAGAAGAAACAACAAGATAAAATAGCCCCCAAGCATAAATGGATACTTATATTAGCAGATACATATGAGTATCAGTAGCCCTTTCTATAACTCAGTACCCTTAAAGTAGCACTCAGCCTTAAAAAGGTTGGTGACCTCTGATATATGGAAACCTAATAATGCTATCTGTGCGGGCTTAGGGTACATGTCTTATTATGGCAAAAACAAAGCTGGTTTTTGGGAAAGGGGACAGCCATTCACCATACACCTGGTGATACAGTTGATACCCAAAATAGCACAAATCTAGCATATGAAATGTTGACATGACCAAGGTTGAATTTTTCAAATAACATATTGCATATTAATAATTTTTTCACTTTGGCTAACCATTCTTTATTACTTGAGAGAAAAATATGGCTTTAAAACTCATTGTCTTAATATGTCACCAGTTTTTTTTTTTATTAGCAAAAAAAAATTTTTTAAGTTTCTCTGCCTGCAGCAGTCTTAGTAACGCTTGACTTCCTCCAAAAACGAGATAAAACTTCTTCCTCCATTTTCTTTTCTTTCTTGTTTTGTACTGACATACAAAAAGTTCACATCTTTAATTACAAACCTCTGAGGCCAAAAACACTCTGCTCAAGCTGTTCCTCCTTGTTTGGTTGACTGAGTGACCTGCAGACCGGATTAGATTACAGCTGCATCACAGCTTGAGAAAAGGGCGATGGTGGTTAGTTTGTACACCAGTGATATGCTTTCTCATCCTCCCAAAACATACAGGCTGTCTCTGATGAGAGAAGCTTCAGAGCACGATTGGAATTCCAGCAAATTACAGATAGAAGAATTCAATGTTGGTTAGAATCACTTCAAGGCTGAATAGTTTTCCCCTGATTAGCAAATTATTTTCCCTTGTATTTAAGGTAACACTGGATAAGACAGAGCAGCATAACCTAGAATGTGTTACTAGAAGCTGAAGCAAAGTTTGCATTACAACCGTTTTATGTTTCACCGAATTTCTTATTTGTCTTGGTCACAGCGAAGTTCCATCTTTTCAACATATGCCTATACTGCAGTGTTTCTGCTTGCTCATAATGACTTTCAGTATTGAGTCATAGCTTAGCAACAAGCCTGCTGGCCTATTTTTGGTTTCAGGCAATTATACAGAATGCAATGTGTTGGTGTGGTCCTGTGACACTCTCAGATAGCCAATGTGGTGAAGACAAAGGGTCTCGGCCCACATCTGTCAAGTTTGAGACCTAATAGCCTGTTATTCAACATACAGACCTAATGGCACATCTCATTATTCGAAGCAATGTGGAAAAAATTCAAATATAGAAACTATATTTATCTTTGTTTTGCCTGTATAGGTTTCCAAAATAGATCAACAAACAGAATATTTTTAATGTAATAAAATACCTGAATATATGAAATGCCTTTATGAATAGATAAGTAAACCTTATCTAGAATAAAGTAACAAAATGTAATAAAGTAATAACTAACAAAATATGATATATGGAAACAGTACAATGAGAAAAGGAACATAAATTAATAAGAAAAAGTTACAATTATTGAAGTTATGCTACATCTTGTTTATTTGAACCATGTAAGGATGAACGAAAATACTAAAATATACAAATATTTGTATCGCATTATTAAACAACAGTACTAAATAAGAAATATTAAATTTAATATAAGGAAATAGTTGAAAAATAAATCAACTTTATTCGCATCAGAGGTAAAAATTTTTGTATTTGTGTTTTATTTTTTAAGTTAGTTTAGTTACTAATGGCTTTCTATGATGCTATGGTGAAAATATGATGTGACACATAAGACCATTTCTTTTAAAGACCTTTAAATGTTGGAAAAATAAAACTGGTAGGTATGGTAGATGTGTTTTATTTCTAATTTATGAAGTTAATGCAAGAATGTTGCTGCTCGTTCAAAGTTTGACAAGATTTAAAGTTAAGGAAAAGATGTAAATATCTTGCTATCACTCACCCAGACCGTCAGTAAAAACAGTTAGAAAACAAATCTGTACAGTAAAACTATTTTTTAGTTGTCCTTTAAACTTTTTCCCCAAAGTTAAAAGTAATTGCTGAGAGTGATGTATATAATGATATAGAACTAATATTACAGTTTTTAATTATTTCTTTTTCCAAACACTCCCAGCACCTTAGTCTAAAAAAAGGTTTGATAAAGGTATGATAATCCTTTGTGATAAAATACCCAGTTAATTAAAAAGTGACATTTCCATCTCTACAGCTATATTCAGTGAGTTCAGCAGAAATGTATTTTCTTTCAGAATGGCATTGCTTCCAGTTATCTTTAAATACATTCAAGCAAAAGATGATGAAAAATTTTCTTAAAACAGTGAAAGATGAAAACATGATGATTGCTCTAGCCACAACTTCCTGCTGTAAAGTCAAAAGCATTGAAGGTCTTATTCCCCACCATAACACTGCAGGGGATTTGGACCTACCGGTATTTCAGTTTAGTTTACCTAGAAGTTTTGACCCACTGGGGAAACAGTAAGTACATTATAGAACACTGAACTTTTGAAAGTAAAATTTAAACAATACAGCAAGACCATAACAAGCTCTATTGCTAGAAAGTAATATGCTGATTTTTATATCTTTTTTTCTGGTAGTGTACGAAAACAATTCACAAAACAATTACGCATCAAAATGATACACATCCTTTATAAATTCAAGAGGGCTTAAGAAAAACACCAACAGGACTTAATTCTTCATCTGAAGACCTTCCTCATTTTAGTAAAGGAGAAGCTGAGAAACAGACAAAGAGCAGAATGTTTTAAGCTATAATAATAGATGTTCACTTATTCTGTGTTTTTAACCCTATTTCAATTTCCCTTTAACGGAGAACCTCCACCAAAATCCTTCGGTGGACTTCGTAAAGTCTACTTTCTGTAGGTCTGAAAACAGGATTAGAATTATTATCTTACCTTTTGTTTTACTAAGAACATGATTAGAAAAGATCTACCTATAAATTTTCCAGATGTTTTCCTAGATTTTCTCAGGAAATTATTGATAAATTGGTTTCCTTAATATCTGTTCTTTTGCTATTAATTTTTATTTAAACCCAAAATCCATGGATTACGTTCAAAGCACGCATTACTGTTTCATACTAAATGATGCAGGAAAAAACACAGCTATTATCCTTTTTTAGAATATTGCTTTGTTTCTTTAGAGTATGCAGCTTTTTCTGTCATAAAACCAACCTTGAAGAAATATTTGATTATTTTCTACATCTCTCTACATTGATGGAATTTAAACATAGAAAAATTATTTGCAATAAAAACAGGAGGTCTAGTTTCATTTTAATTTGTACTAACATGGACACAACATTCATACATGCTTTAAAATATATTGCAATTATATTTATATGTCATAGTGACTCATCTATATAAATGCAGCTTTAACCTCTATGTTTTATAGTGTGGCATTTATCTCACTGTCAACTTTTAACAGCTTCTTTGTCATCACCCCATCTTATCTCCAGCTCTCTCCCACCCACTCTGCTTCATTTTGGTGCCCTGATTGCTTTTGTTCCATCTACCCCCATGCTTTTTCCTCCATCTTTTACAGCATTTACATCTTTGCTCTACTGTCATGCTTTTGTCTAAATTTGTCTTAAATTTGTACAGCTGTCCTGCACTTGATCTCTGATTTCCCCCTCCCAGGCAGACTGAGTTCCCCTCTGAGATCCTGTCTATGTTATGAACAGCACTTTTAGAATGATTCCATTACATGCCTTGTAGCTGCTGGATAATTCAATAAGCACCACTGAGCTGACACACAGTTATGATCTACTTAATGAAGCTACTGTACTGAATGAAGTGTTCGCCTTTTCCTCCTCTGTTTGCACTTTCAATTCCATTACCACTTTTTCTGTTTGTCCATTCTTTCCTTGTTTCTTCTTGCTCTTTGCAGGGTGTTGATGGAGAGCCATTCGAATGACAGCCGGGACAGTGGTCATCACTGGTGGAATTCTAGCTACAGTTATATTACTCCTTATCATCGCAGTATTGTGCTACTGTAGGCTACAGGTGAGGCTGCATGGAGCATTTATTTTTCAATAAACATCATGCTTAGCTCCTCAAATCCTTGAATGCATGCAGAAATTCTACTGGAATAGGAATTAACTTTACCGAACTTTCCAGACAAATTCCTGGAAGTTTTATTAGGTTTTCTAGTTACTTTCCTGGAACTTAGCATTGACTTTCAGACAGCTTACAAGGTGTTTTACTCATACTCAAATGTTTCTTTCAGAACTTAAAATGTGATTTACTGGAACTTAGTACTTTCTTATGTCTTAGATAGTGGTCTGCAATTTTCCACATACTTTCTAGGAACAACTTTGGAAGGTACTATGCTGAACTTCCTAGATAAATTGGTGAAACTTGCTAAAAAAAAAAAATGTCCAAGAATTATATCTTTTCCTCTTAACTGCATCAAATGATCTTCAGATGAACTTTAAACTTTCTTGGAACTCACTGCTTGCTTACATGGTACTTTCTGGTAAGATTTCCAGAATTTATCTGGAAGTCTTCTGAAACCTTCCTAAGGCCTTTTGGTTGGGTATTAAGCTAAGAGGTGCTGTTTCAAATCTTAACCAGAGATGGCAAAAGTACTCACTTTCCGTACTTGAGTAAAAGTACAGGTACCTGTGTTAAAAAATACTCTGGTAAAAGTGGAAGTACTGATTAAACTAGTTTACTCAAGTAAAAGTAACAAAATACAGGCTTGTAAATCTACTTAAAGTATAAAAGTAAAAGTAGAAACCACCTTTTTCATGCCGTTGCCTAGATTTTAAATGGATGTCTGCCAATAGGACTAGATCTCCGTTGTGTTCATTTTCAATCATCTCGTCGTCCATACAACTATGCTAACGCCACCGCCACCAAGCTGCAATGATTTGCCGCGAATGAATACCGCCGAATCTGTCGATTCATCTTGTAGTGGTGCATCAAATGTAACGTAGATTCCCATCCAATTAGATTGAATTTGGTATTGATGACGTGAAAAATAATAACGGTAACTCCATTGAAATGATTCAAAACTAAAGTAACGAGCCAATTTTTTAAAATGTAAGGAGTAGAAAGTACAGATATTTGTGTAAAAATGTAAGGAGTAGAAGTAAAAAGTCGCCATAAAAATAAGTAGTAAAGTAAAGTAAAAATATCAGAAACATCTACTTGAGTACAGTAACGTTATTCGTTACTTCCCATCTCTGATCTTAACACATACAAAACCACCACCTGAAAGATCCAACAACATACAGTACTGGGATCTACAAACTATAATGTTAACTTTTTTAATCCACCTTTATTCTTCCATTTACATATCACTGAGACACATTTCATAGATTAGTTTGTTTCAACCACACATGGCATGGATTAGGAGAGTTTCTCCTAAGTTCTCAGAAAGATATTTGTTTAGGTTCAGAAATACTCTTGAAAGCAAGAAATTAACTTCAAGTTTCCATGAAAGTAGCTTTATAAGTTCCATAAAAATTACATCCAATATTAAGGTTCTATTAATATGATGCTTGAACCATTTACACCAGGAAACAACACCTGCTGTCATAATTATTCCCAAAATTAGTTCCATATGCACCATTAGAATTAGGAGTAGGCAATTAATTGATTTTGCAATATAATCGTAATTTTGAAAAATGCACTTTTCAAATCGCAGCGGCACCAAATTTCAATCACACTATAATATTTAATAAAAGTAAGACACTACATTTCTTACTCCAGCCCTTTAGGTGGGAGTAAAACCCCTGAAGTTGCAACACAGAAAGGTAGAGAGAATTGCAGCTATAGCACCCAGATCCATGCATCCACTAAGATTAAATTAAGGTTTCACAAAAATGGACTCTGGGCAAGCTTTCAAAAACTGAAAGCCTGATTCATTTTCTCAACAAAAAAAAATGTGATGCATCATTCACCTAATATGTGAAACTACAAAACAGAAACTCCCAAACTGTGGCTTGCAGAAGAGTTCAGATCCCTTGTAGATTTTCATTATGTTTTTCTCAACTTATACAGCAAAAGCTTTTGGGAAAAGAGTGCATGGTTTCCCTTTTTGTGTCTACGGGGAAAAAAAATCAAGACAATTTGGGCAGCCACCTCCCTTAATAACTCAAATTTATTTCAGTTGATAAATACATTTTTGATGCATTTAATCTCAGCATAAAAACTTTTCTGTAAATTCTTAGGGTTTGTTAGATATCCTTAAATAACAACATATAAACTAAGGAAGCTATCATACAGAATAAGGGTCAATATGTAGTAAATTTTAAAGCAGATTAAAGTTATAACGATCTTTGAACATCCCAGTAAACTATTCATTCAATCACCCAACAGTAAAGAGTCTGATGCAACTTCAAACCTACCAAAATATATCTGTCCTCCTCACCTGACAAGCCGACATGAGACAAAAATTAAACACTTTAATGTACATGAAAAATATTACAAGAACTTTTTCCTTTTCTTTATCTGCATATAGAAATAGTTTACACCATCTCACATTTATGCACTATTATGTGTTAGTATCTCACATAAAATCCCAACTAAATATACAAACTAAGTTTAAAAGTTTCAAGGTATAATAAGAGTATAATCTCAAAGCACTGTGTATCTGTTACTTTTATTACTTCTGTTCTTTCCATCCACCAGTATTATTGCTGTAAAAAGGAGGAATCAGAGTCGGAGGAGGAGGAGCCGGACTTTGCTGTTACGTCCCGCATCCCGCCGGTTCACTCCAACCACAACATTGTGGCGGCAACTGCTGCCGCCTCCTCCATTCCTAATGGCCCCGCCATTTTCTCCACCCCGCCACTGGCTAGAAAATTGACACGCTCGCAGACCTTCTGTCCATCCTGCACACACTATGACTTGCCTTTCTACCTTCAGCCTCCTCCTCAGCCACAGCAGCTCCCCCACCACCAGCCGGAAGGACTGAGGAATGGTGGAGACCGCATCAGCTACCGCAGCGTCCAGCAGCAGGATCTGGACCTTCCAGTGCCTGTTAACATTTCAAACTATCGTAAGCCGAACCTGGCTCGCTCAGTGACCATGAGGGAGATGTTCCAGCGCAGCTGTAGCATCAGCACTGATGTTTAGCTGAGCAAAGGTTTTCTCTGTGACTTGGCACAGCCTCTACTGGACAGGACTTGAGTCGGGCCTTTGTTGAGTCTCACTTTATCTTTCACCACCTGCAGATTGGACCACACAGTTGGCTCTCAGGACAATTTTCCTTTCTCAAACTCACATATTTTCAGGTCCATGAGCTTTGGGCCAGCCCTTCATATTTAAAAGTGTTTATAAATGTCCTTGAATGAAATAAGCTTTGCTTTAATTTAAGTTGTAAAGTTTGTGTTATCCTACTACCCTTCTTCTTGACCTGAAACACTTGCAGCTTACTGCAACGCCAAAATGATGATGTGCTCAGGGGGGATTTTCTCTTTTACACAGCTGCTACAAATGAAATATGACTGGGAGAAGTCTGGTGTTGTCCTATACTAAGAAGGGATGATCTGTTTGTTCCTCCATCAACAGATTATAGAGATTATCAAATATTATCCATGAAGATTGGAGAGGAAGAGGAGGAGGGTGTTTTTACAGTTTAGGTGCCACCCGCAGATGTTTTTGATAGTTTTAACTTTGGACTGAATATCTGAAGACATTAAGGGCTCACAGAAGATTTGAATACCCTCTCATTTTTCAAATCCTTCCATGTTTTTACTTTAATAGTCACTCTGAAGATCAGCAGACAGCACATGGTGTTTATCCAGCAAAAGGGTGCAAGGAAAGTCTGTATGTTCTTACAGGCAGAAAAAATGCTGTGTTGCTGCAGAATGTAAGTGTATGTAAGTGTATGGGCATGCATTGTGTGTTCAGTTGTTATGACAACATTTTCAATTCCTTACAATCAAACACAAGGTGTCACCCAAATGCTTAATGAATGAGGAGCTGAAGGCGTGTTGCAATAATATTTAATTGTGAGAGGGAGGAGGGAACACCATGTGTCACAGACACATCCATGTAGGTTATATGACAAACCCTAATACTTTGTGTTTATTTTAGTAATCAGACAGTGTAAGACAGACTAAAGTTGGGAAGCATTTTTCTTTTCTTGTTTCTACCTTACGTGTGATTTCTGTTTTTTTACTGAAGCTTCAGCTTGTTCAACCTTTTGTTTTATGTGACCACTGATATCCGGATGCTTTGGCTTAAGATTCACCCTTAAAGGCACATGTATCAAATATTTAATAGGCCACACTTCAGTTTCTTCCCCTTTTCTCTCTCTGGAATCAGTGGACTGAAGAAAATGTACTCTTGCTCTAAAGTACTCTGAGAGGTCCTGTTCTGGATTGTTTTTATTTTCTCCACAAGGCTGACCAGACTGGCTCAAGGGCTGATATTCCAACTGGAAGAGCATTTTATGATCCGAGGACTTACAACTGAAATTAAACACTTCTTGATTTCAAAGCAGTCAGCTAAGAGAAGGATGTTTTTAGGATCCTAAAATCCATTTTCTTCATTAGATTGCTGACACATTTGTACCTTTCACTCTATTTTTGTCTGTGTAGAGTTTATTAACAATCACTGTAATTTATTTAACAAAGACTGAAAAAGTGCATCATTTTGTTTCCCCTCTCATAACATGAGCAAACACAGTGCCTTCCAAAAGTATTTATACCCCGTTTTCCGATTTTGTCCCTCTGCAACAAGACCAACATAGTATGAATAGTAGTGCAACATTGTAAAGAGCTTCTTAAGGTCATGTATGACAATTAATTAGTCCTATAGAAGAAAATAAGTAATTATTAATTAATGGGTTGTTCTTTTTAACGTTTACCAAAATGTGTGCATTTTGTACTGAAAACCTGCATTAGAAATTGGTCTTTTCGAATAATATCTAAATTTAACTTTTTGATTGATGACACTGTAGATCACCCTAAACATCATTGCATTGGTGAAACAAAATGTGGGCCTATATCAGGCGATACTTTTCTTCATCTTTTTTGGAACATGGATAGAGTTAAACACAGCAGGAATCCTGAAAACAAATTTGTAAAGGCTGCCAAAGAGTTGAGACTTGATGATCACTTCCAGCAGGACAAAAGAAACAAAGAACTAAAACATACAACCAGAGCGACAGTGAAGTAGATTCCCACTGAAATCAACCGACAAAAAATAGGCAGCTTTAACTATAGCTAAAAATTGCTCCTGAGGCGATTTAAACAGCAAGCCACACTATTCAGTTTTTGCCATTTATAGCAAGTGTTGAATTCTACTATTAAGGATGATGTGTTTAGGGGGATCCTGATCCAGTATTGATATCGTAAATTCGCGCTGATATCAGCTATGGAAAGAATATCATAATATCTCAGTATATATAAGCTTTTTCTTATCAATCCAGAAAATATCCTTTGACGTTTATGGATTAAATGTAACAAACTGAATAAGATTTAAGAGGTAAAATACTTTTGTAAGGCACTTAACAATAAGCCACAGTACACCCACATAAATCAAAATATCAAGGCCATAAACACAGCGCTCCCCTACTCCATACTCTGATTATATCTATCACAGCTGACTGCCCAGCCTTTGCATTTACATTTATTGAAATTTTATGTTTATCTTACTTTATCTAAGTCCCTTTAAACATCATGAGGAACAGCATAAGACAAGCAGGTCTGAACCCCAACCTGGTCCTCTTAGAAACAGCTATAAGTCAACATGTGCACACAGCACACACACAGATGCTCACTACAGTAGATATTGTTAATATCTTTGAAGCTAAATTTGTTGGCAGTTGCACAGCAAATGTAGTGCCATATGGAAGTTTGAGAGAAATATATTATCAAAAATATTATTATTATTAGAGGTGTTTATGAAAATAAATTGTGCTTTTATGTTTGGATATTTAAATTTGTTGCATTATTTTATGATCCAGCTGTTTTTTTCAGACTCAGTATAGTACAGCAGACATGTTTCTGTCCCTGTTTCTAATATATAACTAACAGACACATTGTTGCTAATAAAATTGTGTTAAAATCTTTCTGCCCTCTTTTTTTGGTAACTGTTGTGCTATTAACTTAGAGATAATCAACTAATTAACCTAATTGATCCTTTCTAATGTTCCTTACAACGAAATCTGTTCTCTGTGTATGACCTATTTTTCATGAGGGTCTTGCTGTGGGAGCTGACATTCCAGTCTTTGGGGTTCGAACTGGATACTTGAAGCCAGGGGTGTCAAACCGGTTCCAGAAAGGGCCGTGTGGCTGCAGGTTTTCTTTCCAACCAAGCAATAGCACACCAGACTTCATTCATCTCATCAAGTCATCATGTTCAGATTGCACTCAATTGAGTCTGGTGTGCGATTGCTAGGCTGGAAAGGAAAACCTGCAGCCACACGGCCCTTTTTGGCACTGGTTTGAGGCCCCTGGCAGAAGCTCTATGCTCAGGGCCCACTGTCCTACATGTTTTAGGTGTTTCCCTGCCCCCACCCACCTGACCTGAATTGGGAGGTAATTAGGGCTTTTGCAGCATGTGAGGACTGCAGAGGGGGAAATGCAGGCATTTGAATCAGGTGTGCTTGAGTAGAGACACATCTAAAATATGAATGACAGTGGGCCCCGAGGACCAGGGTTAAGGAACTCTGCTCTAAACCACCATTCCACTCTATTTTCTTATCCGTGCTTGGTTTGATAATTTCATAAGCTGAAACAATTCTGGCAGTTGAAATGTCTAATGCCAAAACTTTTCCAGGAACAAATTTATTTAATTATAGGCTTACAACTGGCCTAAATAATGGTTAAAGAGGCTGAAAACTCAATTATTATCCACTATGAAGACTAGATTTTTACCATTGGGATTTGGGATGTCCAGGAGAGAACTTTTAACATGGCTACATTTGTTTTAAGAGCAATACAAAGTTCTACATGACAATAGTAACTAATATATCATTGTGTCTTAAAGAAGCTAAAAAGGTAGCGTGTTCACAAATTCACAGCAATGTTACTGGAAGAAGAACAATAAAACAGACTGTATTTGTTCATCTTTCGTGTCTGTAAGCGACATTAAAGTGAAACCCATCAACATATCATCGTGAGAAAACAGTGAAACCAGCCAAGTTTTAAACTTCACATCAGCACTGAGGTCTGCATTCAAACAGCCAGCCTCAAGGCAAAGAGATAAGAGTCATGACTCTAAAGATGTTTGAATGACAAGCAAGAAGGGGGGGGGTTAAAAGAGATGATAAACAAATCTGTCAGAGGTGAGGAGATGATAGACACTTGGAGAATGCAGATGAAAAAATGAAAACAGGAAGCTTTAGTGTAGCAATAAACTAAATGAATCAGAGAAGCAGAGCAAGTAATCATGCAATATAAAGAAAGAAGCGAAAACTATTTCTGGGAGGAAATAGAGGTAATTATTAGAGAGATGAGTCAGAGCTCATGAATGAAAAATAAAACAGCACAGAGTGCACAACAGATGGAGGAGGAAAGCAGAGGAAATCCAACCAAGGCCAGCCTGTCTGAGACGTGATCAACCATTTTGTGAAGGTATTTATATAACAGAGCTAATGCAGTCATATAAATTATATATATATATATATATATATATATATATATATATATATATATATATATATATATATATATATATATATATATACATATATATATATGAAGGGAGACTACAAGGTTTTGTTTACAAATTGATCTCAGATGGTAAAATGTTTTCCACTGTTTTAAATCCCATATCGAAGAGGTTTCTAGAATATACTTTCATCTGCCAAGAAATATCTTAGATATATATTAGAAATATTATATATTAGAACTATCCTGTGATGCTGAGAAACTAGTCCATGCATTTGTTACTTCAAGGCTGGACTATTTAAGTTCTTTACTATCAAGAAGTCCACAAGCTGTTAAAAGCCTTCAGCTGATCCAAAATGCTGCAGCCAGATTTCTGATTAAAGCTAAAAAAAGAGATCATATCTCTCCTATCCTGGCTTCTCTTTATTGGCTTCCTGTTAAATCCAGAATAGAATTTAAAATCCTCCTTCTCACATATAAAGCCTTAAATAGCCACGCTCCATCTTATATCAGAAATATGATTGTTCCTTATGTTCTTAACAGAGCACTTCGCTCTCAATCGCCAGGTTTACAAGTGGTTCCTAGAACTTCTAAAAATAGAATGGGAGGCAGATCTTTTAGTTATCAGGCTCCTCTCCTGTGGAACCAACAACCAGTTTTAGTCGGTGAGACAGACACCCTGTCTACTTTTAAGACTAGGCTAAAAACTTTCCTTTTTTGATAAAGCTTAGTAGTTAATAAGCTTAATAGTTAGAGAGGCTCTGGTTATCCTGAGCTATAGTTATGCTGCTGTAGGTTTAGACTGTTGGAGGACATAAGGACCCCTTTTTGATCACTCTGCTTTATTCTATCTCCATTCTCCCACTTTGCAGAATGCGTTAGTTCAATCACTAACTGAGCTTATGTATGGTCTCTCTGCTTTTTCTCATAGTAGCTTCAACTGGTCTGTTTCCCTTTTGGCTGTGAAGCCATCCTGGAGAGAAATATCGGCTATGCTGCTGCTATCGACACCTTTGTTTATAGATGTCAAGGTCGGACAGTTTTCCAGTGTGGTCCTGTTTCTCCGACTGTGTGTAGCTGGATGTCCTCTCTTTATCCTCTGACATGGGAGTTGGCTCAGAGCTCATCTGCCTGGCTGTGTGTTTCCTGGACGGAGCCGCCTGTAGAGCTGATTGAAAGTTGCGTTTTGTATTTCTGCTTTTTTTCTGTATGTCTGCTTCTGTCTCATTGAACCCCAGGTGGCCTCTAATGGTGGCCTCTCACACTGAGCCTGGTTCTACTGGAGGTTTCTTCCTGTTAGAAGAGAGTGTTTCCTCTCCACTGTCGCTACAAGCATGCATAGTGGAGGGATTGCCTTCGAGTCAATGAGTCGATGCAATCAACTGGTGTTTCTTAGATAGAAATCTTTGAATCAATTTGACTGTATGACCAGGTTGAATTTTAAAGTGCCTTCAGATGAAATGTTTTGTGAATTGGTGCTATATTAATAAACTGAATTAAATTCAATGAATGAGATACAATAGAAATCACAATTCCTAATAAACTTGTTGAACCTGCAACTATTAGTTTTGATTCAATTCTGTTTGTTTATATATTTCCAGTCGGCAATGCGTGTAATCTCAAAACACTTTACAGTGCCAATTGAACCTAACCATACAGGCAGATTAGTTAAAAAAGGTCATATCCTGCAGATTGCATCAATTCACAAATGTACTCTTCCGGGAGGATTGATTTTTGTCAGTGTAGAATTGCAGCAATCCCTTACGTAGCAACAGTGCATTCTCTGTACTATACTTTACATGCATAGTGGCTGCATATCCAGGCCTTTGTGACCTCTGACTGTCCCAGTTAGTATTCAAACTTCAGAAAGCTTCCCTGTTGTATTTCTAAAGCCCACTGACCAAATCTGGCTTCCTAATGCAAAGAGCACAGATTGAACTTGACATTGTTGCTTCTGCCATGCTATGGGCTAGGTTCATGACATGTAGTCATTTTGGAATATTTACATATTGAATATCCATATGATAAGCTGACAAATCGAATAGCGTGTGAGTGATATTTATAAAAATGCATGGTTCCAAAACACACATTGGATTAAAAAACAATAACAATAAAATATTAGATATTTGTGGTGCACATTTGCCATACCTCCTTTGTTTTTAATAAATGACTGGCTTATATATTTAATTTTAAAAATCCCCAGAAAACACAAACAAACATCCAGGTCTGACGTAGTTAATGTAACATTTTGGATCATTTTTGTGTAGATAAACCTAGCATTAGAAACTATCCCGTTTTTTGTTTTGTTTTGTTTGTTTGTTGTTTTTTTTTTGTTAATACAAAAAATAATCAGTGGTTTTGGCGAATATTTATCGTTTTAAGTGTACAAACCTTAAATATCTTAATGTTGATATGCACCTCACTGTTATGCTGTATTTTAGTTAAAAGAAACTAGTCCTGATGATAAACCCGGACCAAGATCTGACCCAGAGATCCATAATCTCCTAAATCTGATCCTGTTTGATGTTGTTTGCTTCTCTATTCAACAAATTCAGCTGATTAAGGTTTAAAGTAACTTGTATTATAATATTCAGAGTAAAATCGAATCAAGTAGGTCGTTAAGTAGGAGGACTATCGAGGAGGTACTAAATTCATCAATTAATGGTTTCATTCTGTCATGTGGAGGATATAACCAGTTGATCTACCAAAATATATCCAGGTACATTTTAACACCTACCAGGCACCAAGCAGTTTCAATATTTAGAAAGAATCAGAAATTGACACTAAAAGAAAATTAAGTTTTTTAATTGAATAATAGCTATAAATTTGGTCTATTAGGGGATCTTTGGGTAATTTGTTTGACAATATAGAGAAGAGATAACAACCAGTACTGTTAATATAATCCGCATAATTTTTGGCTTTTACTAAATACTCTTAAATAATATTTTACTGGAATGTATATATATATATATTGTTGATTTAAAAAAATATTTTAATGTTTACTATTCTATCTTTACTAACAATTATTAAGGGAATTGCAAGTTTAGTTTTAGAAGTTTTTTTGAAAACTGTGTATGTACGGCAACATATGCTGAAACTATGCTGTGAAAACTAATGAAATCATTAAGATTTTAAGTATATATATATATATATATATATATATATATATATATATATATATATATATATATATATATATATATATATATATATATATATATATATATATATAATTTTTATCTAATTTTAGATCACTGCTACTTATAAATGTTTGCATTTGATATGAACCTTTATTTCGAACAGGTTTAATATGATGTCATTACCAAAAATACTTACAGCTTTTTACCTTTGTTTTGTTTATCTGCAATATAGAAAACAGATCTGCATGACAGGTTGCAGCAAATGCATGTGTTATCCTTTGTTTGCAAACACATATGACAGTTTTGTATTTAGTT